GGCATGCAAAGATATTCATACAAGAGCCATCCGCAAAACTTCCAAGGGAATTACTGGAAAACAACCGCAACCAAGTCAGGATTCTGGTTGGACTTCTGACCGGGCACTGCCACCTAAGAAGGCACATGCACCGGATAATAAGTACAGACAGAAGAAACACGGTGCAGCTACTGCCAGAAAGAGGAGGATACTGCAGAACACAATCTATGTTTTTGTGAAGGTCTTTGTAGGTGCAGATTCTTGCAAATGGGAGAGGAACAGCCGCAAGCAAGATCGTACACTAAGGAGCCGCCGGCAACGCTATGGAGGATGATTAACAACCTGAAGCTAGCCAGTGAGTTATAAAAATTAGGTAAGCAATATAGATCTACTCAGGTCGAGGTGCAGAAAGCCATGTGGCTTTTATACCCATACCTATCCTTAACATGCAGATAATTAACTAGTCAGCCATTCAGTGTATCATTGACGTTAATTCTCGATGGTGTCTTTACTTGTGACATCGATGTTAAGGTGGTAATAGATAGTTATAGCAATAGACTGTTGAGTAATCGATAGCTATATCAATTGATGGTAACAGCGATGTTTAGTAATCGATAGCTATGGCAGTTGATTTTCCCGACGATCTTTAGCATCGATGGTGCCTTCATTTACAATAGCTTCACCTCTTTTTTTTCATCCAACTAATGTTGAAGAATAAATTATCCTCCGCATTTCCTTATCTGTGTCGTACAACGTGTTAACAAGTTGACCAATTTAACTTTTATTCATTTGACTAAAGAAGGAGAACCGTTGAGACCGTCATTCATCCCGATTTATCGTGACCCCGACAAGTTTTCGTTTCCTCCCCAATCAGGGGTATGTAACCATGGTGACTTATTTTACTACCATTTGCTCGGTGTAAACAAAATATCGCCCTGACCCCCGATCATTAAACCGGTGGAAATCCCGTTTCTTCTGCCGAGTGGAATCTCGGCTGTCTTGAACCAGAAATTGGCCGTCGTTAATGACCTAATCTTATCTTCCTCGTCACCTGTTGCTCGTAAAGTCGTTTCCACGTCCCAATCCGCTTCGATGCGACTTCAATTACTATCATCCGAGCCAATAATTAATAGAAAAGGAATTTGGGACGCAGTAGGAAAGCCAATTGGAAAGAGTGCGCGTACTGACACCTGAGACCAGGGGCGACCTCGATTTAACTTTATCTTTTTAATCCTGTTACTTACTCTTTTACGCGCAATTCTATTTCGACCTTTTTACTGTAGTGCCTACTCTTTTGATGTCCATTTTGAAAGTGGCCTTTACGTATGAAAATCCTTTTTGCTGTGACGATATCGATCCCTTTATCTCAAATGTAATTTCTCTTACGCTAGAGTCGGACTAGGTACACCAACGGCTTGATGAAAGATTAAGCATTAAATTAATGTATCTCAGGTTTATGTATTTTTTAGAATAATAGTGCAACAATATACACTTTTGCGCCATGGACAAATTCTTACTATAGCTTAACCAGATGGATGTGGACATGAGGTTCCCGAGAACTCTTCGTCAACAAGACATGAGGATCTTTAGCGTCCGCACCTGGCCTATTCGGCCTTATCGGATGTTTTGATTCTCAAGATGAGAGCTGACGCACCTCTGCATACGACGGAATTTGGCCGTGGATTCGCTAGAAAGTAGATAGGTACAAGATGGATGGGGACAGTTGAATCAAAGATGCAGATTGTACCATCGGAGACTGCAGACAAATGTGGTTGATACATTTACTAGAAGAAAACTTTGCACTTTCTGCAATATCCATGTAGCAATACAGCTCTATGCACAGGAGTTAATAAAGAAGAGTGAAAAGTGCACAGATATATTTTCGGATAGTCAGACTGTTATAAAGGCGCTAAACGCGTATGCTTTTAGCTCCAAACTAGCCTGGAAGTGCCTAAATTTCCTAATGGAATACAAGGTTACCTTGAGGTGGTTCAACATGAAGTACAGAAGGAAACGAACAGGCTGATCAACTGTCAAAAGAAGCCAGCTCAAGGGACTGGCACCACAACTAGACACACTTGTGTCGTCAAGTACTGGACGAAAGCACCAAGTGTGAGGCAAGCTAAGAAGATATAGAAAGAAATTAATTAGGTAATGGGACGAATCTGCAACATACGGGCTGTCAGGAACTAAATGCACATGATTTTAGCTTCAAATTAGCATTTGAGTATAAAAATTGCCTAATGGACTAAGGTCAACCCAACAAGGTTACGTGGGGGGCGTCGGTGGCGCAACGGTTTAGACGATGACAAGGCGCTCATTGTAAGGTAAAGGTCCCTGGTTCGAATCCAGGGGCCCTGCATTCAAACACGACAAATTGGCTTTGTTTTTCAAAAACACCGGCACCCCGACGGTTCATATAACATCGTATTTTAAATACCTTCGTCAAAGAAAAGAAAAAAAGAGTTACGTCAAAGTGGATTCTGGGACATGATGGCATAGAAAGAAGGAAACCGACTGATCAAGTAGCCAAATAAGGTAAGCAGCCGTCTCCCACCTCGGACTGAAACAACAACTAGGCTTACTGGAGGGTGTGCTTAAGTTGGAGCTGAAAAAATGGCTTGATGAAGGAAAATTCAAGCAATGGTATGAAGCAAGCGAAGAGATTCATAAACCGTCAAAAAGGAATGGGAAGAAATTGTTTTCTCTTTCAGCAAGCAAGATTTGAGAAAATGATATGCCTCTGTACCGGCACTGCTCTGCCCTCTTAACTACGGCAAAAAAAAAATTGGGAAAGCAGAAACAGAACTGACTTGTCAAAAGAAACCATAGATATCGGCACATAACCTTTCTGAATGTGAGGAATTAGTTCTTAGATCCGGTAAATAAGGAAGTCCTCAAAACAAGGGACGTGCACAAAGACGTACCAAGGATTGGCTTAGTTTTGTGGAGAAAAGATGCACTTTCCACAATATGATCTTAATAAAAGGGGTTCCACAATAGACCTCTATAGGTAGAGATAATGGAATCCTTACTCCCCCCCCCCCAAAAAAAAAGTTCCACTTTCAGAAAGAAACTTCTCTTCAATTCACAATATCCTGAAACAAAGATATAACAGACCTGATAGTAGCGTTTGGTAGTATCACGTAATGGTTAAGTATAAGCTAAACCAAATTGTACACAATACTACTGGCTACTTTGAGCAATGTCTTAAACATACCAATAGTTCTCAAAAAGGGGAAACCAAATGGACTGAGGAAGTGATTGATACCAATGAGGGTGTGATTGTAAACTAAAGTTAAGGAACTTACTATTTTATTTGAATTGATTTTAATGCCTGGTTGACTGCGATGCAAAGTAAAAACTAATACCAAATAGTATACCATGTGTGGTGAACACCAGGTTAACTAGATATCTACATGGTGTCACCACTACAACAATGATTTCACCTTCCATGCTGTAGACCATGAGCTTGCACTTTGTATAAACAGGGGCCCAACCTGCTTAATGCAGGCTCATCAGCAAGATCTCACCAACTCCACTAATGGAGCACAGTTTTCAATCAACTGCTCAACCCATAACACCAGCCCTTTCTGGACCTCCATAAACCTCAGTCAGTAAACATGCAATTGCCTTCCTAAATTTTAGAGAATTCAAAGAGCAACAACTGAACCAAAAATAGTACATTGGTTTTGTGCAATGGTTAACAGACCCCCAACAATATAGCATATAGTTATAGTTGTAGCATATAGATGCCAAGTACAATCAAAATCATTGTGATGTGCACAACCTGTCATTCCTAAAAATTTTTGTGTGAAAAATGCGTGCTTACAGTATGGATTTAATCATAGAGGTTTGACAATAGACCTATATAGGTCACAGTGGACATACGCTAGCCTATTTTATTTAATCTAATGTATGCAAAAAAGAATAACTTCAATATTGAAAGGGCTTCTGAAAGCTCTAAACTGTAAAATAATGATTATGGTACAGTTGCTAGAAACTTTGAACCTTCAGTTACCTCTAAGTGAGCTCATTTCAAAAATGCCCACAAGGAGGAATATTATGTCCTATTAAATTCACTAATTTCGTGGTCCGCTTGACCAATTAATACTTTACAATTAATTAAGGTTTTTAGTAGGTAAAATGGCAAAAGGAGGGAAAACTCATAAGGTGGGGTTGAGATGGGGAGTTGATGTCCGAGTGGATCGAGGTCACAATAGCTCAGGTGGTAGAGCAGCGGCGTATCTAGCTGAAGGTCGTGGGTTTGAATCCCTCTCGTGCCATTAACTTTTTTTCATCTCAACTAAAAACCTTAATTAATTGTACTGTGTCCTATTTTCTTTAAACTAATAGTTGTATATGAGGAAACCTTCTCTAAACTGCAAGAGAGTATAGGATCAGAACTTGGTTGGTCACACCAATATCAAATTAATCATACTTTGAGAGGTGTCCGATAACCAAGCAGTCATCAGAGAAGTTACTGTGAATGTTCTTTCCTTAAAATTCCTGATCTTCCATGAAAAAAAGGATTTGAAACAAGTAGACAAGTTGGTCTTATAAAGAGCTGACATACTGTTTTTCATGATAGGTATTCATAAAGTCACATGTGGTTTGTTAATCTCTTTGGACGTCTGGAAAAGAAAGAAATTTCAAGTGGGTACAATATATCATGAACCTTAAAATCAATCTTCTAGACACAGCAAACAAAATATAAACTGGTAAAAATTGACAACGATTTACATGAAATGTCTGGAATATAGGAACAGTCTGACATACAGCTAGCTCTAGACAAAAGAAAAATCTATAGTTCAACTGTGTAAGAAATATTACAGAGCAGGGGGTGTAGTATTTGAATGGTTGGAGTAATTTGAAATGTTGAAGCCATGACAGTTGCATTAACTGCATAGATTGCTTTGGACTTACAGCTATTATGTTTGTTTTTTGTTTTTTTTCTAGTTCGTCAAGTCACTCTCCAGTTTACAGCCATTATGTATATATATATTTTTTTTTTGTTATAGTTCGTCGAGTCCCTCCGCAGTTTTCAATCCCACCACCTTCGCTTGTTGAAGTGATGCTTGGAGCTGACTACAACTTGACTTGTGTTGCTGTCGGATCACCCATGCCGTATGTCAAATGGCGAAAGGAGCCGGCTCAGGACATGACGCCAGATGACAAACTCCCCATCGGAAGGAATGTCCTTGAGCTGAAGGGCATTCAGGAGTCTGCAAACTACACCTGCATCGCTTCAACAGCCCTCGGGATCATTGAGACAGTCTCATATGTCAAAGTTCAATGTATTAAAATCGACAATTGAAACATGAATTAAATAAATTAACTCAAATACAATTTGCAGCACTGCCGAGCGTTCCGACAAGCCTGACTTTCTCCGATGTGACTGCAACGTCAGTTCGACTCTCTTGGTCGTTCCCGACTAACGAAGAACTCCAGTACTTTGTGCTTCAGTACAAGCCTAAATATGCCAACCAGGCTTATTCGGAAATCTCTGGAATCATCACGACCTACTACACTGTACGAAATCTAAGCCCGTATACAGAGTATGAGTTTTTTATTATCGCTGTCAACAATCTTGGAAGAGGACCGCCCAGTAGCCCCATCATCGTACCTACTGGTGAAACTGGTATGATGTTCTTCATTACTAAAACTTATAAATAAATTCACCTGGAAAAAAGAGCTTCAAATTTTTATTTAAACAATTTGATAAGAACGTTTATAAAATAAGCAAATACTAGAAATTTCTTTATTTCCAGGACATGTCACTTTAACATACAAAGGTAGAAATAAGTAATTTCATCATCCTGCTCTGCGTATTCTGCCTGCTTTTGTCAAGTGTGACAATAATATATATAAATATAAATTTATTTAGAAGAAAACAGAATTTTCAATCATTTTTGTCATTTTTAACACGATTTTGAAGCTCTTTTTGCCCGTTATTACTCTTTTACATCAAATGTGTACATCTTAGAAGAAAATTTATTCGAAAACTACATTGGCTGTTTTTTGTTTTCTGTTTTGTTTACAACAACAAAAAAATATCAACTTGGACTTCCTGACGAAATGTGGCCTTATCAAAACAATCAAAACAAACGCCCATACTAATATCGAATACGTTTCAATAAATCAAAATACGATAATTGTAAGTGTATATTTGAACAAGAAATACATAACTGTTCGAAGCACTGCGCACAAAGACACCGTTTTTTTTTTCTTTCTTTTCCAAGACATTCGAGCCTTTTTTATCTCCTTGGAGGCTAAATTTTATGATACTAAGTACCAATAAGTTTGGTAAATCTAAAACAGTGTACAATTTATTGATAGAAGTAAGCAAACTCTAAGAGAGTTTAGCTTTTTCTAAGCAACAGTTTAAAATTTGCAGAAAATTTAGCCATTAAAAGGTGATTAAGTCATTAAGGAGATAGATAGGCGTCTTGTCTCGTACCGACCCTTGAGCACATCTGCACAGTTTTAAGAAGCCAGCAGGCAGACATTATAGATGCATGCTCCGGCTAGGAACAAATGTCTTCAAAATACCTCTTTTATTTCATTCCCCTCTTTCCAATCTTTTGACTGTATGAATGCCTATGACCAAATATATTTTTCCTTAAAGATTTATTACCATATTTATACAATGATTATCATTATTTATGATCATAGATGCATGTAGATCTCATCTAGATAGTGTTCATTCACTTCACTTAAATAAATTTGTGTAAAACCGTTGTTTAGTACTAATATACAATTTGTTTTTCTTTTTTTTTCTTTCATGCTCATTTTAGGCGATATCCACAATGAAGGTGCAAGTAAGTATATATGATATATATTTTTTTTTTAATTGTTTGCTTTTTTTGTTTTGTTAATGGCTTCGGTTTTGTTTTAATCTATAGTCGTGTTTGTTTGGTTGAGTTTTGTTTTGCGTTATTTCTAGAACCAGGCACCGCGCCTAGAAACGTCCAGGTGAGGCCGTTGAGCTCGAGTACAATGGTGATACAGTGGGATGAGCCTGAGACGCCCAATGGGCAGGTCATCGTAAGTACGAGCTTGTAATAGATTTTAAACAAAATCTACATTTTAACTTCTTTCAGGGTTACAAAGTCTACTATACGATGAACCCTCAGCAGCCATTAAACAAGTGGGAATCTCGAGTCGTAGACAACAACCAGCTGACGACAATAAGCGAGCTCATTCCGCATACAATTTACACAATCCGCGTTCAGGCTTCGACAAGCGTAGGACCTGGCCCTTTGAGCGCACCCACGCTTGTCAAGACGCAGCAAGGAGGTAGGACATGAGTATCATCTTAAACTTATAAAGAATAATCTATTACAAATTAAAAAATTCAGTTCCGAGTCAACCTGGGAACCTGCATACAACAGACATCGGTGAGACATCCGTATCACTTGCATGGTCAAAGCCAAACCATGCAGGAGAGAACATCGTCAGCTATGAGCTTTACTGGAACGATACTTATGCCAAGGTAAACTATCTTGATATTTGAAACAAAAATAAAATAATATATTAAAATTGGTTTTCATTAGGAAAAGAACCATCGTAGGATACCGATTTCAGAGTCGTACACTTTGACAAACCTATATCCAAACACTCTTTACTACATATGGCTTGCCGCTAGGTCACAACGTGGCGAAGGCGCCACAACGCCACCGATACATGTCAGGACTAAGCAGTACGGTGAGTCTGTGTGCAAGTGCCTCCTGCCATCGGCTCTGTCCGATGCGAGAGGCACACAACCAGCAGATGCATGAGTTTGTAGTCACAGCACTGTTTTATTTGCAAATGAAAAAACGTTTTTTGTCCAGTTTAACCGACTTTTGTTCAATTGCTGAATTTTTGTTTTTTATCGAGATTAATTTATCTTGATAAACCGCAAAGCATATTGAATGAATTACACGATATAATTTACAATACAGAGAAGCTTGATCATCTTGATATGTCAAATCTTGCTAGTTTATTTTGCATTTCACCATGTTCAGTCTAAGTCATCTTTTTTGATAGAAAAATATAGATATATTGAAATACATATAGGGGTGTAAAATAAGTGTACCGTTCCTCCCAGAAACTTCTCAGGTTTTTTGAGCAAACTCCTCAATGTGCTTTCAACAGTGCTCAAGTGGAAGCACATAAAACAAGCCCCTTTCGATTAACCAGAGCTGGTTGTTTTTGGTTGATTGCTGACTTGAATTTATGTGCAGTACACCCTAGATTTAACGGCTCAGTTTGGCGGAAGTAGCTAATAGTAAAACAACTATTCCAATCCCAACAGCAAACTTTCATGGGATGCAATCTGGCTTTTAGAGCTGTTATTGTTGTGTACAATTCATAAGTATTGTACTCAACATTAAATCAATAAATTCACTAATTTCATGGTCCGCTTGACCAATTAATATATTACAATTAATTAAGGTTTTTAGTTAAGATAAAAAAGTCAGTTTCACGAGTGGGATTCGAACCCACGGCCTTCGGCTTGATACGCCGCTACTCTACCACTTGAGCTATCGTGACCTCGATCCAGTCAGCCATCAATTTCCTATCTCAACCCCACCTTTTGAGTTTTCCCTCCTTTTTGCCATTTTTCAAATGTCGTGTAATCGGATTGGATCCTCGGCGACAAATGAAATGGCCACGGAAAGCTTTACTGAAGTATACTTCATTTTAAATCATTAAATTCACTAATTTCGTGGTCCGCTTGACCAATTAAATCAATAGTTTGTTGTTGATTTAAACAAATAACTGGATAATCAGTTAACAAAATAATGACTGTCACTTTGCTAAAAGCCGCTATACTATAGCCCCCTTCCACCATTGCCACGACTAAAGAATAACTTTAATAACCACTAAATCCTGTTCATTTAGCTGTGCTATTTTATTTATTTTGTAGCCAATTTTTGCCAATCTAAGGCAGGTAAAAAAAAAAGTTGTTTAACGCCTTTTTGTAAACTACATTTTCCCATTGATTTTCTACTCTGCTGAACTGAAAGCATTAACTGTAGGTTATTTGTGCATGAATTTGTCATCAACCGCTGAAGGAAATAGGAAACAAAAGATTCCTCAAATTTCCGCTTCCGAACTGAGCAAACCAATTACAGACCTTTATCCTAAAGCGTCACCATTCACATCGAAAATCTTCCAAGCAATCTGAGCTGCGATTTTCCATTTGAAATAAAAAACCAACAAATGTCAAAAAATGCACTATTTTTGTCTCGATTTTAAATTAGTAAAACACCTTGTAAAAATACAAGATCTCAAATGAAACTAGAGAATAAAATTCATTTTCAGAGTGTGAACACAATAACGACTAAATAAACATTGTAATCATTTCCGATCATCTTGGACTGCCTATAATTGCAGGTCGGTTTGTCAGACCCCTTGCGGCATTTTGCCTTCTTCAGTATGCCTTCCATGTTTTAGACTGATCAAAATAATAAAGTAGGGTGGGATTGTGAGGTACAATTTATTGTACATTGAATGAGAAAGCAAGACAATGCAGAAAACAGTCATAAAACCATCATCATACAAGAAGGAAGGAAACAAAAACTGCTTCAATAAGTGTAGTTTCTTGGTGGTTTCACTTTAAAAAAAATTCTCTATTTTTCATGGTCCGCTTGACCGATGAAATTAATATATGAAATTAATAATAAATAAATGACTGATCTTTCAATTAATTAAGGTTTTATTGAGATAAAAAAGTCAGTGTCACGAGCGGGGTTCGAACCCACGATCTTTGGCTAGATGCGCCTCTGCTCTACCACTTGAGCTATCGTGACCTCGATCCACTCGGACACCAACTTCCCATCTCAACCGCACCTTTTGAATTTTCCCCTCCTTTTCCCATTTTTCAAATGTCGTGTAATCTATTTGATTCTTGGCGACAAGTGAAATGGCCACGGAGAGCTTTAGTGAAGCATACTTCATTTTAATTCATTAAATTCACTATTTTTAGTGGTCCGCTTGACCAATTAATATCATTTAATTAATTAAGGTTGTACGTTGAGATAAAAAGGAGGAAAAATTCAAAAGGTGTGATTGAGATGGGAAGTTGGTGTCCGAGTGGATCAAGGTCACGATAGCTCAAGTGGTAGAGCAGAGGCAGTATCAAGCCGAAGGACGTGGGTTCAAATCCCGCTCGTGACACTGACTTTTCATCTCTACTTAAAACCTTAATTATTTTTTTAAAAAAATTAAGTTGATTAAGGTAAAGTTAAAGCGTGAGATTTTCTCATGTTCTCTGCAGTGTGTAGATGTAATTTGATTTTTACCTCATCTTTGCCCATCATTGCTGGGTTGGTCTGTCAGACGCAAATTGGCATTTTGCCTTCTTCAATATTTGTAGAGGTCTGCCCAACACACAGAAATACGTAAATGTCAAATTGTGCCTAACAACAAATCACTGCTTTAAAACACAAGAAGGATAAAAACAAATTATTGAAAAATGCTATGGACATATTTTACCACCTGATATATCATTTTTAATTCATCCCTCTACAATTCCCGTCTCTATTTATAAAACCACCAGACTTAATCTAAATTGTGAAATGCAAAGTAAAATAAACTAAAAATATAAAAATCTATTAGCATATCATTATTCTAATTATGAAATACAAAGAAAAGTATTAATCTCATTTCTTGTTATAATATTTTTAATGTAAAGATTAGATTTTAATACAAAATTATGATTGACGGCTGATATCAATTATCTGAGACAATTACAACAAAGCCTGTGATGGATCAGGGAAAATCAGTCTTGAATTTCTTTCTTTTCATTATTTTAAATGAATGATTTTTCTTTCTTTATGAAGGAAACAATTTTTATTAAGATTTACATATATTATAATTACAATCATGGTTGATTGTTGATGAAGCGATTACATATCGGTAGATCGGGGTAAACTGGACAGATAACGGTGTAAATAATGAAAGGAAAAAAAAAGAAAGTTTTTGAAGTTTTCTCTTTGAGTTTTAGTGAGCACAGAATCACCAAATGAATTTTTGTTTTAATTGTCGATATTTCTGCACTGTAATTCACACTCACCTAAGCCCCGAAAACCTTTGAAAAACTTCCTTTTGAACTTAATTCCTTTTCCAAGCCTTCCCGTTGTCAGTTTAGGGAGTTGGAATAGTCGCTGTATGACTTTTGACTGCATCGACTGATCATCAACAGCTTTACTGACTTTTCATATTTTCTTCTTCTTTTTTTTTAAATTAATATAATGCATGCTAATTTTGACCACTTGGTGCTGCTGAAAATTTTCAAAGCACACCTAACATTTGATTTTTTTAAATTCTTTTACTTTTTCATCAGAATGACCCATTTTGTTTCATTTTAAAACATAATCATTTTTTAATTTTTAATTTTATTTTAAACTGTGACTGATAAAATGGGACTTCTGACTGTTGAGCAGGGTTGTCTATCTGTCTTTTCTCAGCTTTCCATTCTTTTATATCATGAAAACCTCAACTTTCCTTTATTTAAGCAGAATATAATTTTTTTTAACTTAAAACTCTCGATGTGCACAGTTTTTTACTTCTCAGTTGTCTTTATTATTAGCAAAAATTCTGGTAGGGTTATAACTAGTGAACTCTGACTGGCTTCCTATTCAGCATCAAAGATTATAACCGTCTGACCACCCCACTACTGCTCTGGAAGTTCTCCAGAATCTACCATCATCCAGGGAGAGACTAGAGCCACAATTTACAGGCTAATACAGAGACCCATAAAAAAAAGAAGCAATTAAAGCTTCACGAGGAACTTCAGGCTAATAAGCTTCAGCTTGTCAACGGCATGATCTCAAAATTCATATTTGATAAGAAATTTCAAATTAAAATACCCAGTAGAACAGAAAGGAAGAAAGGGATCCCAGTTAATGCCAGTTATATTTGGTAAAAAAATGGCTCTAAAACCGAATATGGTTCAGAAGCTGGTATGGTATATGCCACACTCTTTCAAGATAAGGATTCCATCAATACGTAGTTAGATGGGGAAAAAACTTGTTTGGCACTAGGTCACAGAGGGCAGCCTAGAAGTTGATAAATTGGCCAAAGAAAGTTTGATGAGGATACCTATCTGCTCTGAACAAGGGTGCCAAACTGCCAAGATAATAGCTCTATGTGACAGTGGGTTAGGAACAAGTCTCTTATTCAGGGGGTTGCATATCATGACGAATTCATTAAAGAACCATTGCAGAAACTAATGGCAAAACTACTAAACCTAGAGGGTTAAGACTAAAATGATAGTAGAACTGCTGGCTGGATAATGAACTGAAAAATGAAATGTATGTTACAATTAATTAAGGTTTTTAGTTGAGATAAAAAAGTCAATGGCACGAGCGGGATTCGAACCCACGATCTTCGGCTAGATACGCCGCTGCTCTACCACTTGAGCTATCGTGGCCTGATCCCCTCGGGCACTAACTTCCCATCTCAACACCACCTTTTGAATTTTCCCTCCTTTTTGCCATTTTTTAAATGTCGTGTAATCGGATTGGATTCTCGACGACAAATGAAATGGCCACGGAGAGCTTTAGTGAAATATACTTCATTTTAAATCATTAAATTCACTAATTTCGTGATCCGCTTAACCAATTAATATATTAGAGTTAATTAAGGTTTTTAATTGAGATAAAAATTCAATGGCACGAGCGGGATTCGAACCCACGATCTTCGGCTAGATACGCCGCTGCTCTACCACTTGAGCTATCGTGATCTCGATCCACTCGGGCACTAACTTCCCATCTCAACCCCACAAATGAGGGAAAATTCAAAAGGTGGGGTTGAGATGGGAAGTTAGTGCCCGAGTGGATCGAGATCATGATAGCTCAAGTGGTAGAGTAGCGGCGTATCTAGCCGAAGATCGTGGGTTCGAATCCCGCTCGTGCCATTGACTTTTTTTATCTCAACTAAAAACCTTAATTATTTGTAATGTATTAATTGGTCTAGCAGACCATGAAATTAGTGAATTCTATGTATGGCAACCCTGTGCCAAATTGCCAGGAAGAAGAAGAAACAGCAAACATCTTCTGTTGGTACGAGGGCTGCAGGTTGAGTTCCTATAACTAGGAGAGGAAAAATCAAGGCCTGAAGGATTCACAATTTTAACAAAGCTTTGGGATCTGATAAATATACTTAAGCTTAATGAAGAGTTCTAGATAATAATGGAGATTGCACGATAAACCAATATTGGTCATGGACCCTTCCAAAGCTCTGCAAAGAGAATAAATTTATATAGAGTTCACTAATTATAAACCTACACTGATCAAATGACAAATAATATGGAAAAAAAATTAGAGTAAAAATTTTGTTCAAACAACACAGTTTGACGGCTGGTCATATCGTTTATGAGTATAGCTATGTTATGATTATTATTATTAAAAACGTGTTTGACAAAAAGTAGAGGAAATGTTGAGGCTTTTCATTTTATAATTGTAAAAATGGGGAACGTGCAGCCGAGAGTTGCTTATTAAATTTGGTTGTGGTGTTTATTGTGTGAAAATTTTGGGGAATTTGGTCTATCCCTCTTCAACATTGGAATGGGAAAACAGTGCCAGGAGCTCCCCCTCAGAATGTTAGCGGTGAGGCCGTCGGCCCAACTTCGATCCGAGTCTCTTGGAAACCGCCTCCAGCCGATCGGAGCAACGGACGGATAATCTACTACAAACTACAGTTCGTCGAATCGGGGCGGAGCGATTCCGAAGGGACCATCACGAAACTGAACCAAACTTCAATACTCCTGGACGAGCTGAAGCGATGGACTGAATACAGAATTTGGGTACTGGCAGGGACGTCGGTCGGCGACGGGCCCCCTTCCTACCCAATCACCGTCCGCACCCATGAAGACGGTATGCATTACACATCAAAATCACACAATACATTATTAACAAGCCTTTAAAATATATATATATTCATTTCAATTTTATTAAAGACAAACACTTGAAATACTTCATGCTTCTGTAATTTTCAAAATTAAACTATTTTTACAAACTGTTAAAGGAATTAAAATAATTGTAATTTTTGATTAAATAATTAATTTAAAAAAAAAAAAAAACAGTATGTTCTAAACCAGGGATCGGCAAACATTTTTATAAAAGAGCCAAATCAGGTTCAGCAGGCATCTGTTTCTACTCATGATGAAAAACTAATTTTTAATGAATTTATAGAATGGTTTAAAATTATCGTAAAATTTGTTCCAATGTGAAAAAACTCATTATTGATTTTTTTTTTCCTTATGATCTTGCATATTAGCCATAGTACAAATTCTTGTGTGTTCAAATTGGGGGTTATCGGGAAAAAGGGCCAGAGGCGACAGTGGGAATCGAACCCACGACCGCGGCGTGAGAGTCTCTCATGCTAACCACTCGGCTACCGCGGTCCCCCTCATTATTGATTTGAATAAGCTCATATCTGCACATGCATGTACAGAGTTGAGCCTACCACTTCTCGCAATCCTCTAACATTTCCAATTTTTGTCATTTATGACAATTATCAGCAGGCTGAGAGAATCCCTCACTATTGTTGGCAGTCTGTTGTCAGTCCTCGGTCTTATCTGTCAACCGAGGCGGGCTCTGGGGGCTGTCAATAAACTCACCTAATTGAGGGTATTCAATATTCTGCCACCGATACTCTCACACTTCACATTCGTGCTAATAAGTACATTCACTCAAAATATACCAGGGAGCACAAAAATATGTATACTATATACAATAAAACAACAGTGTCTCCTCCAAGAATCAGAACAGGAGCCCTAGATACTCACTGCCATGCTCAAGCACAATCACAATGTCGAGTGGCTACTTGCTCACTATATGGAGCCAAGGAATTTCTTCCTTCAATAGTGGGACCCATCGAGCTTTTTCTGCATGCTGGACAGATACACGTGCTTTGACCCAGAGTAAGTGTCCATGTGTCGACCTCGCCTGGTTTGTTCATAATCGGATTTCTTCTACAAATCAGGTTCCTTCGTAGGCCACCTATCGACAGTACTTGTGCTATGTGAGAGCTTCTCTGCTGATCCACGACACTGCCATTTTATTTTAATCACATTTTTTAGTTTGCCGGATCGCAGTGGTTAAGTCCAAACGTTGGGATGTCCCAGTTTTACCCGCCTCATCTGCGTTTTCATCACCCTCTAGACCTACGCGTGAAAAATGAAACTGTTTCTTTTAAGACGATATTTCATCATTTTCAAATTATGAATTCCAACCAATGTAGCTTTTAAATGGTCATCAATTAACAACTATGACAGGGTTTTTACATACTTCATCGTAGAAAATATCTTTTTATATATACTTCCCAAAAGAATTTGTAAATTCTTTATTTACAATATTTTTTTATATTTTTTTTTAACGTAGTAGTGCTATGTGCCTAAATTTTTTTTAGCAGTTGTAATAGTCATAGATAGTTTTAAAAATTGAATTTTGGTAAGGAAAAACTCCAGGGGACGTAAAAATAAAATGTAATAGAATGGGAGTAGGTGTCAAAGGGACAAATTTTGACCTAGCGAACCCTGTAGTTGTACCATCAATTGTCCAAGCTAAGATCCACACAGTAGAACTGCAGTGCTTGAGACTACTTTCAATTCAAAGATGGTGTTGAAAAGCCTTACCTCAACCTCCTAGGAAAACAAAATTAGAGTTGTGCCAGGATTTAAGGGGAAACAAGCAAAAACAATTTCAAACACTTTGGACCAGAACTTAATTACCGTGTCCCAAAGTCCAAAAGGTGGAACCGAAAGCCTGGAGATATAAAACCACACTGTGGATAAATTTACCAGGTGGAAAATCAAAATGTAAATCTTTCAACAGGCAAGACTTAAGAAAAATAATAGGCCTTTCAGTTACCATCTTTTAAGAAATAGGAAAAGAAAGAGAAGCAGAAACTTTGGAACATGCCTATGTTCCTGCAAATCATTAGGAATAAGTACAGTTTCTTCAAAAAGGCGATAGTTTTTACATGCATTATTAGGCCCAGATAGACCATGGTTATGTTCTGCCCTCATAAATTGAATTCTTGTTAATAGCGATCTGCACTTTGTTAATAAAATTGCCTCTTCTGATTTTAAGCTTCCATTGCTTGAAATTGCTCTATCTTAAGTGTAGTGCATAGGATTAGAAATAAAGAATGATCGATTCTAAATTAGATCTTTTAGGTCATCATGGAAATTAAGCCTTTTTGAAAAGGTAAAATGAGCAAGTAAAAAAACTTATTTGATTTACTTTTTAATTTTTGCCACACATTGCCGATCTCTGATGTAAACAAACACGCTTTATTTTCTCATTTTCAAAAGCATTGATCATAAGAACAAAATATTTGATAATTATATAAACTTTAATTAATTATCAGTGAATATTTCAGGATTAAGAGTACTAAGAAGCAAGAAGTAAAGCGATAATTTATGATGGTCTAATTTTGTTTTCTTTTTACATTTTCCTTTCTCTTAAATTTGACATTGTAACATAAAATAATGCAAATATGCAAAATTATACCATCAAACATACATTAATTAATCTTAAATAGTTAAAAAACAAAAATATATAGAAATTTTTAACATTATACAAATTAAAAAAAAAAAAAAAATACTAATCCATGAACTTCTATTTTCTCTTGTCTTTTTTGCCAAATTTGACTTAAACAAAAATCTTTTTTAAAAAAGAAAGGTTTGTGTGCCCAGGCACTTAATGTTATACAGGAAAAGTGAGTTCCTAGTTTTATTGTGTGACTATGAGGGATTATTTTATTTTTTCCTTTTTTTATATTTTTTATTTATTTTTATTTAGTGATTCCTTATTCGATAAAAGTGGTTTTCAGCTTTTTTTTCATCTAAAAGTAAAATTAATGGATGTGTGTTGGTCTGGAAGGCTGAACGGCACTGGGTTCGAGTACACTCGTGGGTTTTATAGGTTACTCAAATGCATTTTGGCTTTGTGCCATCTTCAGGGAAGAATTTTTCAATAACAAAACCTCACAATTGTATTCATACCCAGTGTCAATTTAACATGTAAAAGAGAAATGTTTGAGATGTAAAATAAGCCAAATTAAAAAGTTGAAAACCGCTTTGATTTTGTTTCTTTTTTTTTAAGTTCATGATCCTGAATTTTTTCAAATTTTGGGTGGGTTAAATTCAAAATGTTGAAGACTTTTGATTTTTGATGTTTTCTGACTGATTTGGTTTTTGAAATGAAATATATTCTATGAAAATTGTGTGGTCGATTTTCTCTTTTTTGTGGATGTGTTTGATTTTTGATTTTTCTTTTTCCCTTTTGGTTTCTATTTTACTGTCAAAAAACATGAGGAACCACTTGTGCGAATTTTTTTACACTTGTTTTTTGAAGCTCAAAAGGATTTTGTCTATTTTTTACTCCTCATCTGATACATTTTTTTCATGTGTGTCTCTATCTTTTCTATTTTGTAGCAGTGCAAACTTTTTGGATATCGAGGTGTCTGTTTTGCCTTTTTTTCTTTTTTGGAGAAAAAACAAAAAACTTTTTAAACTATTTTTCTACCACAGACAGGGTTCGTTTTTGATAACAACCTGTGTCTTTTTGTGTTTTGGTTTTTTCTGAAACAAAAAATTTGTACCCTTGTTCTCCTTTTTATTAACATTGGCCCATCCCAGATTATATCACTTTTTTCTCTCACCTATATTGTAATGAAAAGAGCACTTTTTTAAAAATATTATTTTAATGGTTTCCTTTATTTTATTGTTTTAAGTTTGATATGTGTTTATTAATCTCTTTAGTTATTTTTGTTGTTTTTTAAGTTCTGTCGCATCAGATTTAATTTTGATTTGACCTATACATATAATTTGGTTTCTGTTTGGTTTTCAAGTGGATTTTTTTCTTTGTTTTCATTTTTTGAATCAACACACTGCACTTTGTAGTGCATGTCACACGTAAAAAATAAGATTTAAGTGCACTGGATGTATTTATTCTTCCGCACAAAACAAAAAATGCACCTTTTATTTTGTTTCAAATGCATTTTCTTTTTATCACTTTGGATATTTAAGTGAAAGAAGTTTCAGATTTTATTTGAGTGTGTTCTGGAGATTCATTATTTGTCGATTAATTTGTACAATAGTAATTTTGATTTGATTGTTTACCGACACTGTGTTCACCTACACTCACAGTTTCATGAAGTTGAACGAGTTTGATTAATATCAAAAACAATAGACCCTAGTGCTGGTTCAACGTATTATTTTTTTTAATATTAAACTGTCCGATTTATTTTTTGTACTTAAATCCAAACGCGATTGGCTGTTCCAGTTATCTCCAAAACGCACCATATTTTTTGTATATGTACATGTTTATACAGACGATTAATGATACATGTGTTAATAGGGTGTAAAATTAACTCTGTATTAATTTTACACTTGGGTTTTGTTAGTTTTTTGTTTTGTTTTTTTTGTAGTTTACGTCTTTGAGTTCTGAAAGATAACGGAATGACTATTGGTTTTTTCTTTTCTTTTCTCTTTTTTCATTTGAATACCAATACTAACATAAAACTTTGTATCTTCATAGAATATATATGCATAGGGTGAATTTTTGAGTGGATGTATTTTTTTTTAAGTCCTGTTGGTACTTTTGAAACTAATTTTTGAATTCTGTTTTTTTGAAGCGGCACAATTGGATTTTTTAAATGATTTTTTTGTGTACATTTAAAAAAAAAAAAAAAAACACGAACAATTTAGCGCAAAATCCGACAAACAAGGAACAAAAAGTTAGGAATGTTTCTAAAAACTTTTTTTTTTAATTAAAAAAAATAAACAACAAAAACACAGAAAATTTATCTAAACAAACTTTTTCTGTGTCTTTTTTTTTGGCCCGTGACTGTTTTTGTGGGTCTCGCTAACCTTCGTTTTTTGGGAGAGCAGAAGACAAGCGTAAGTACCATATTAAAGAAAAAAAAAAAAAAAAAAAAAAAAACGAAGAGAGAATAACAATCGTTTTTGTTTTGATGTAGTCAACGTAACACGGTTTGAGCTGCAGCTGGCACTAGAACTATCTGTGGCTCGGCCGGTGTTAATAGACTATAATTTTTGATTTTTTGCCCCTTTTTTTTTTTGTAGCGAGGATTAGCCTCATCTATTTTGATTTTTGGCATTTTGATTTTTTGTCCTGTTTTGGTTTTTTTTTTTGTGATGTCTTGACTCCCAGCGAATAAAAAAATGGAAATGTTTTATTTTTAACAACCAATGGAGTAGTGTGTAGATAAGATTTTTGTTTTTGTTTTTTGTGAAATGTCATTTGAATTTTGGTTGTTTTTATTTTTTGGCCAGAGTTTTTAACCACAACTTATTATCTTTTTACCATTGCATCATTTTTTGTGTGTGAGCTAAAAATACTTTTTTTATGTGTTGGTATTCAAATGCGTTGTTTCATATTTGGATAATGAAATAAAAACGAATTAAACTTCAACTTTGGAAAATGTTTAAAAAATGGCCAAAACATTGCATGTTTATGTCCAATTTTCAATGTTTCTCGTAGAAATTAATTTCTTCCTGGTTTTATGAGATGTTATCGCTGTGTATACATCCGGCCGTCATTCTGGCATTCATTGGAAATTTTTAGGATATGACCTCTACAGAAGCTTATTTAGCCATTTTATTTTTTCAGTTTTGTGTTTCTCTTTTGAAATATTGTACTTAATACACTGTTCTAACTTTTTTTAAATATTGAATATGCTGTGACTCGGTTAAGTAGTTTCTAAACCATTAATGATACATGCTTCATTCAGTCAAAACTTCAAATATTCATCATCGAAAATCAATTTGTTTTCTATATTTCTGATGCCTGTTTCAATGGAAAACAGAATGACAGCAGGACGAATACTTCTACGGATACTTCTCATGACTGGAAGTGGTTGAGCCCGCACTGGTCTCAGGATGCAGCACCACTCAAATCGCTTAAGCTCATTTTTATATTTACAGTACCCGGTCACCCACAAGAAGTCAAAGTGAAACCGTTGAATTCCACTGCAATACATGTACAGTGGAAACCACCTGCTGAGAAAAACCGCAACGGTGTCATCAGAGGATACCACATTCATTTGCAAGAGACTAAGGAAGAGGTGAGTCAAAAATCATCAATGTTCAATAACCATTTGTTAATTTGCTTCTAGTTTTCCATGTAGGCTTTGGTAAATTTGTATTATGTTTCTAACTGTTAAGTATTGTCATTTAATCTAAAAAAAATTAGTTTGCTAATTTTTTTATTTTTTTTTTTTATAACAGGGTAATAATAAAGTGAATCTAAACGAACCGATGAAATTTGATGTCCTCGATGGTGCCATGCTTGAAATGAACATAACCGGCCTTCAACCAGACACAATGTATAATGTACAGGTTGCAGCTTTAACAAGGAAAGGAGATGGAGATAGAAGTGAACCCGTCAGCATACGCACACCTGGAGGAGTACCAAACAGGCCAACTGTCACAATAAAGTACCTAAGAATATTAATTTTTCTTTCACATCTGTCGTACTAATTTTATTTTTTTAATTAGAGTCTTAGATCGTGATCCTGAAGTGAGTGTGGAGTTGGAATGGTCCCGCCCTACGCAGACATATGGGGATCTTTTAGGCTACAGGCTGCGCTACGGGGTCAAAGACACCCCTCTAAAAGAGATCACGCTTCAAATCACATCCCATAAAATATCAAATCTCGGTGGGTAAATATATAATAATATATTATGTTTTAATTGGTCCTATTGCTGAACCAGAACAATTATTCAGTGATTTGTAATTTTATGTAAAGTGTGGTTGAAATGAACCTATGATCTTTGGCTCAATATGCTGCTGCTCTAACCACTGAGCTATCATAACTTTGGTTATAATAATAGTAATAAAATAATAATAATTAAGGTTTTTAGTTGAGATAAAAAAAGTCAGTGGTACGAGCGGGATTCGAACCCACGATCTTCAGCTTGATACGCCGCTGCTCTACCACTTGAGCTATCGTAACCTCGATCCACTCGGACACTAACTTCCCATCTCAACCCCACCTTTTGAATTTTCCCTCCTTTTTGCCATTTTTCAAAAGGTGGGGTTGAGATGGGAAGTTGGTGTCCGAGTGGATCGAGGTCACGATAGCTCAAGTGGTAGAGCAGTGGCGTATCAAGTCGAAGATCGTGGGTTCGAATCCCGCTCATGCCATTGACTTTTTTATCTCCACTAAAAACCTAAATTAATTGTAAAAAGAATAATAATAACTATATCATATCATGTGGCTTTGTTTTGCAGAACGAGGTGTCGAGTACGAGTTCAGGGTCGCTGGACAGAATCAGATTGGGTTTGGACAAGAGTCAATCAAATACCTTTTTACACCAGAAGGCGCTCCGACAGGGCCACCGGTCAACCTTTCCCACACCTTCCAGACGCCAGATGTGGTTTGCGTGACGTGGGATCCTCCAGAAAGGCCTAACCGAAATGGACAAATCGTTCGGTGAATATTATAAAACATTTTGTGTAATAGTTTACAAGTTTTCTTTGTGTTTTCAGAATTCAATTCAATATTTCTCATTATTCTGCTTTCTATCCGGATCTCGCCCCATCAGGTCCATGGCGCATTGTCTAACAGTTTCTGTCTAGAGGTCTGTTGAGTAATGGGATCTTCAGTTTAATTTCTTTAGTGACTGAGAGTTTTGTGAGAGCTCGTCGGGTTGACGAATATGCTGTCGTTATCCATTAGTGATGAATGAGACCTCGTCGTGTCGACAAGTCTGATGTCATTGTTGTCGATGTCGGTTACATTAGTGATTGATGAGATCTCGTCGGGTTGACGGGTCTGATTCCAGCGAGGCAGTGCCCCTGCTTATATAAGGAGTGATTCAGGAATATAAGGTCGGGCCTGCTGGCTGGTCATACCAACCAACAGTGGTCTCGAAAGGTTTGACAATCTTATCCGTTTAAGATTTAAAGGATTATTTTTCATGAGTGTATCTATGCTCTTGCCTTCGCTTTGTTCCTGAGCAATGACCTCCGTATCGTCGAGTCTTGAGGTACAAGTGAGGCCTCGTCGTGTTGATGAGTCTGGTTTCAGTGGGGCAGTGCGCCTGCTTTTGTTTGGAAGGGCTCTACTCTGGTTGGCTGTAGAGTGCGAGAACATTCCATAAGTGGTAGTGGCATCTAGCTGAAACGTGTGGTAACTATAAGTGGCCACTAAAATTTTGTTCTTTGAAGTCGTGTACAAAGATTTTAATCTTTATTCAAGGGAATATAGGGGAGTAGAGAGATAGAATGGCATTGTCTTCAGTGTAGTTGGATAGTTGTGTTAGGATGGGTAAGGATATAAGGGCTGAGGACACTACCCTGAGGATACACCTTATACCAAGGGGAGTGTTGTTACAACTTCCTTACTGTGGATTAAACTAATTATAGGTCAAAACTTACAACTAATGTCTTTAGTCCCAAATTATCAGGCCTGAAAAAGAAATTGGAAATGAACCAACTCGTGGGATCACTCTTCCATTTAGGCTGTGCCGTGTCCGCCGGGATCCGCACCTTCTCTTCGGAGGAACTCTCCACACCCGTAGATCAGCACCAGTGGGACCACGCCCAATACTTTTTTTTAAATATTTTCTTTTCTTCACGGAGACCACCTCTTACTCAGACGTCTATCTCGAACTGACTGCCGCTTGCTTTTTTTTTCCCAATCTTGAACCCAGTGCCCTCTGGGTCAGGATCTTGCAGGCCGTGAATTGCTTCCTGCTTCTCGCACGTCTCGTCTCGGTTCCGGCCAACTATTTAAGTATGTAAAGGATGTAAAGAGAAGGAAGCAAGTAGAGTTTAGGATGCCCATGAGTTTGCAGAGCAAACCCAGTCACTAGACTGATCGAAAGCCTTTTTAACATTGATGAAGAATTGTAGCAGTATTCCTTCTTATTAAAGGAAGATGTGATGATGTCCACAACACGATGACACTGTTGAAAGCCTAAATCCAAATTGTTGGTCAGGGATAACATTAAAAGATTCGAGGTTGGGCTGAGTTCACTTAGAAAGGAGATCTTATAGGAGTTTAACAATACTTGGTTATAGTAAAGGTGGTTTGTTTTGTTGGGTATAGTGGGTTTTGTTGGGTGTCAGTGGAAAACTTCCATGGGGTTGGGAAATGAGTGGTACGAAGAGTTGTATTATAAAGCAAAAAAATTTTGTATTTACCATTAGATTTGTAAATAAATCTTTGACTAGTCAATCTCTCTCTTTTTTTTTTTTTTTTTTTTTTTGAGCTTATGAAGGATTGAATGAGGTCAAATCCAGGAGCTTTCTGTAGGGTGGTCTTTTCTAATAAATTCTGGTATAGTGTCGCTGTTTTGGTCTGTGGCTCTTTAGTGGTGAGTTTGTCCTGTTGTGGATAGTGAAATGCCAGACAGACCAAAGGTTATCAAGGAAAATAGACCAAAGTGATAGGAACCAACTAATGGTATGGTATGGTATGGTGAAGAAGGATACAAGGAAGCGGGGTTTGCACTCCCCAGGCACTGCAGCCCTCTGGCTTATTGTACCTTCCTAGTTCCTTAGTTCAGTGCAATAGACTCAATCCTTCTTCTTAGAAGTATCAGGTCATTGACTGTTGCTGCTGCAATTTGAATCCCTAAGTTTTTTCCGTTAGGTTAACCCTCCATTGAGCTGTTGCTTTGCATTCGAAGATGATATGAGTGGCTGTTTCCTCCTCCTCATTACATAATGTGCAAATGGGGTCATCATTGTATATACCCATGTTGTGTAGATGTTTTCTCAGATGCCAGTGACTGGTTAGTAGTCCTACCACTAAGTTAGACCCTCTCCAATCGCAGCAGTGTTTTTGCCAGTCTTGGTGAGGGTTGTTTCATCATAAGTTTACTATGTCTAGCACCGCTAGAGTTCATCTACTTCTACTTTTGTTTTGCTTGGATCCATTCTGCGATGGAGGATTCTATATTTGTTCTTGTTATCCCAAGGTTCAGGGCCTATGGTCTTGCAGATCCTCCTTTGGCCAATCTGTCTGCTTTCTCATTACCCAAAATTCCCCTGTGCCCTGGCACCCAGGATATCATCAAGTTGTTATGTTTCCCTAGGTTTTGTTTATTTTGAATGCATCCACTGACTAATTTTGATGCGATTCTTTTACATGCTAATGCTTTAATGGCTGCTTAGCTATCTGATCTTATAAGGATTTTTTTGCCATTGTAACCTCTTTTAAGATTTTCCAGGGCACAAGCATTGATGGCATGGGAAACAACTAAAGCACAGTTTATCTGGCCTCCTTTGTGCCAATAAGAATTTTTATGTTTTATTTGGTACATTATGCACAGAAATAGTAGCAATAGAAGAGTAAGCATATTGATTATTTTTTAATGTTTTATTTTTTGTTTTTAGCTATGATGTACAGTTTTCTAAAAAGTTGGATCAATCGACACCAATCGAGAGGAACACAACGCACACAAAAGCCGTGTTCTCTGATTTGGAGGAGAACACCGAGTACATTTTTAAAGTGAGAGGTCACACAAAATCTGGTCCCGGCCCTTGGTCAGACAAGGCAACCATCAAGACCGAACGGGACATCGTCAGGGCACCGATGGGTGTAAAGGCCGTGGCGACGTCCGATCAGAGCGTCGAGGTCTGGTGGGAATTAGTCCCTTCAAGGACGTCCATAATAGCTTACAGAATATTTTATACAATGACGGCCGTCGAGGATCTCGACCAGTGGCAGTTCAAGACGGTGCCCGTGACAGAGTCGGCAGATTTGGTCAACCTTGAAAAATACGCGCAGTACGCGATCGCTGTCGCGGCTGTTACTAAATTAGGCCTGGGACGCCTCTCGGAAAAGGTCACTGTGAAAGTCAAGCCTGAAGATGTTCCTCTGCAACTCCGTGCTCATGACGTTAGCACACATTCAATGACACTTTCTTGGTCGCCACCGATACGACTCAACCCCATTAATTATAAGGTATAATCACGTTTTTAATTATTCAATTACTCACAGTTACAATAGTGTATACTTATATTACAAAAATTATCTAACCATCCCTGGCCAAGCTACCACTACATAATTTCAAACTATCAACCTACTCCAACAGTAAATTAATTATTTATTAATTAATAATAAAATAATACACCCTGAATCTATGAAATCAACTATTTTTGATTATTACTATGATAGTACATATGGAGTGCATCTAAAAACTTTAACCACACAAAACTTAATTTATGTTGTTAAATTTATTAATATTTGCATTTCTTTCTTCTTTTTTATATGAGATGTTTTCTGATTTAGATTTCATACGATGCCGTAAAAGAGTTTGTCGACTCACAAGGAATAACGCAGATTCAGGTTGTTACAAAGCGAACGGCCCTTCTTGAGCCGCATGTCAGGACTCACACGATACACGAACTCTCGCCTTTCACAACCTATTCGGTCAACGTATCAGCGACGCCGACCGATCACAGGTATCGACCTCCAGCCAGGATCACTGTGACTACCCAGATGGCCGCTCCGCAGCCGATGGTCAAGCCGGACTTTTATGGTGTCGTCAATGGTGAAGAGATACAAGTAATATTGCCCCAGGCGTCCGAAGAATACGGGCCCATCAGTCATTATTTCCTTGTCGTTGTTCCACATGACAAGCACACAATGGACAAACAACCAGACCAGTTTCTAACAGATGTTGTAAGTTATGATGCTTATTATTTTATTTATATTTTTTTTTAATTGTCCTCATTATACATTATTAATATTTCAGTTGATCGCAAATTCGAAAAATCCGAAAATAGATGGAGAACACATTCCTTACATCGCCGCAAAATTTTTACAGCGCAACATCCCGTACACATTCCATCTTGGATCGGGCGATGTGTACGACGGTTTTGTAAATAGAAAATTAGATAGAGGTGTCAAATACAAAATATTCGTCCGAGCTGTCGTCGATACACCACAAAAAGTGTGTCAAATAATAAATTAAATAGTTAAAAAATAATATTAATTGGTTTGTTTTCTCTTTGTAGCATTTATACACTAGCAGCCCATTTTCTGAACTGCTTGCGCTCGATATGCGAGAGGTACCACCTGGTGATCCGCCGAGACGGCCTAATCCTGACGTATCTAATGAAGGCTCAAAAGATGTGTTGGTTGACAAAAGCATCAAACAGGCATCAATTTTTTTGTGGCTCGGTCCTATTATAGCTTCCTTCATACTCTCAGTCTGCCTCGTTTTATTTTTTATTATTAAAAAGTAAGTCTTTTTATAATAATTTATGAACATTTGAAGATTATTTGTACATTTTAGGCGACGCCAGCCTTGTAAGTCACCGGATCAAGGGGCGGTGACGAGACCGCTGATGTCCGGAGGTGAAATAACAGCTCCTTCTCATCCGTCTGACCCGGTCGAAATGCGCCGTTTGAACTTTCAAACGCCAGGGATGATCTCACATCCTCCGATTCCGATAAGCGAATTAGCAAACCACATCGAACGCCTAAAATCTAATGACAATCTTAAATTTAGCCAAGAATATGAGGTACTTAAAATAACATATAAATTCCACCTTAAAATTGATATTGTTATATGTAATTCCTTTTGTAAATAGTCAATAGAACCAGGGCAGCAGTTTACATGGGACCACAGCAACATGGAGGTGAACAAGCCCAAAAACCGGTACGCCAATGTAATCGCTTATGACCATTCGCGCGTAATACTTCAGCCGATTGATGGAATCCCTGGCAGCGATTATATCAACGCGAATTACTGCGATGGCTATCGGAAGCACAATGCATACGTAGCGACACAGGGACCATTAGTCGATACGTGCTCAGACTTTTGGAGAATGGTCTGGGAGCTCAGGTCTTCCACTATTGTCATGATGACCAAGCTGGAGGAACGAGCAAGAATAAAATGCGATCAATACTGGCCTTTAAGGGGTACTGAAACTTATGGAATGATTACTGTGACCCTCAGCGATGTTCAAGAACTTGCCACTTATTGCATCAGGACATTTCATATCAATCGCGTAAGTTGTTTTGGTTAAATAATTTTTGACAAAATGTTTTTTTAAATTTTTTTTTTTTTAAAGGGTGGAAGTTGTGAGAGGCGTGAAGTTAAGCAGCTGCAGTTTACAGCTTGGCCAGATCATGGTGTTCCTGATCACCCAGCCCCTTTTCTACAGTTTTTGCGTCGTGTACGATCCTGCAATTCCGCTGAAATATCAGGCCCTCCCGTCGTCCATTGCAGCGCAGGGGTCGGCCGTACAGGCTGCTTCATCGTTATAGATTCAATGATCGAACGTATGAAATCAGAAAAGTCCATCGATATTTATGGCCATGTCACTTGTTTGCGTGCCCAAAGGAATTACATGGTGCAAACCGAGGATCAATACATTTTTATCCATGATGCATTACTTGAAGCCGTTCAGTGTGGAAATACCGAAGTCCCAGCTCGCAACCTTCACTCACATATTCAAAAATTAACTCAGCCTGAGCCAGGTGACAACATAACAGGAATGGAGTTAGAATTCAAAAGATTATCCAATATAAAGACGGATTCGACGAGATTCCACACTGCAACACTTCCTGTCAATAAGCATAAGAACCGCCTAGTCCACATTTTACCATTAGAAAGCACACGAGTTTGCCTACAACCGGTGCGAGGTGTAGAAGGTTCGGATTACATCAATGCCAGCATCATTGATGGCTATCGTCAAAGATGTGCCTACATAGCGACTCAAGGGCCACTCCAGGAGACGACAGAAGACCTCTGGAGAATGCTCTGGGAGCATAACTCGACCATTGTAGTAATGCTCACAAAACTCAAGGAAATGGGTAGGGAAAAGTGTCATCAGTACTGGCCCTCGGAACGTTCCGTGCGTTACCAGTGTTTTGTAGTCGAGCCCATAGCGGAGTACAATATGCCACAGTACATCCTAAGAGAGTTCAAAGTCACTGACGCCCGTGATGGTTCGTCTCGCACTCTCAGGCAGTTCCAGCTGACTGAATGGCCAGAACAAGGCGTTCCCAAAAGTGGAGAGGTTTTCATCGACTTCATCGGCCAAGTCCACAAAACGAAAGAACAATTTGGACAAGACGGTCCAATAACTGTACACTGCAGGTAATTTATCAAGTAATCATACCTAATCATTGTAAATCTTGATATCGTGGTTCTGTTTTAGTGCGGGAGTTGGACGAACGGGGGTTTTTATCACTTTGAGCATAGTTTTAGAAAGAATGCAATATGAAGGCGTTGTAGATATTTTCCAGACAGTGAGAATACTCAGAACTCAAAGGCCAGCCATGGTCCAAACTGAGGTGAGGATACTTTTTTTTTTAAGTTTAAGAAACAAACAAATTTGAAATTTGTTAAAATGATACATCTGCAGCTTGAAGATCTCTGATCACCCTGATCTACCTACTCTCATGTTTTGTTTATCAGACGAACTTTAGAACTTTTCCAACTTCAGTGATTTTTTTGTAAACCACGTCCTTTTATAATTATTGGTTGTAACATAAGTAATGTTTTTTAATTGTAAATCAACTGGATGTTTTCAGACATTTGTAAACAAATGTAATGAATAATTGCATGTCATTCCGTTAAGACAGAATTTCGCAGATTTTTGGGCAATGAACTCCTCAGTGTTTTTTCTGTAATCCTTAGTGAAGTAAAGTTTTTTTCCGTTAATAGGCAATGCTAGGCCAACAGTTTCTGGCACTTTGCAAAGACACGTGGAAGCTACACATCCTAGTGGAAAACAATCCCCTTACGAATGTTGTTTTTCGACAATCACTTGGATTATGTGCAGTATGTGTATATGCAGCAAGAATCAATGGTTTGAACGGGCGAAAGACGCATAGAAAGCCCCCAATCCCATCAAATCCACATTATCTTCTTGGATTGCAATCGGCTTTTCAGTTTTTAGTGTTATTTATTTAGCCATTTCATTTGTCGTCGAGAATCCAACCCGATTACACGACATTTGAAAAATGGCAAAAAGGAGGGAAAATTCAAAAGGTGGGGTTGAGATAGGAAGTTAGTGTCCGAGTGGATCGAGGTCACGATAGCTCAAGTGGTAGAGCAGCGGCGTATCAAGCCGAAGATCGTGGGTTCCAATCCCGCTCGTGCCATTAACTTTTTTTCATCTCAACTAAAAACCTTGATTACTTGTAATATATTAATTGGTCAAGCCGAAGATCGTGGGTTCGAATCCTGCTCGTGCCATTGACTTTTTTATCTCAACTAAAAACCTTAATTAATTGTCATATATTAATTCGTCAAGCGGACCACAAAATTAGTGAATTTAATGATTAAAAATGAAGCATACTTCACTAAAGCTCTCCGTGGCCATTTCATTTGTCGTCGAGAATCCAACCCGATTACACGACATTTGAAAAATGGCAAAAAGGAGGGAAAATTGTGTGCCTGATTTTATTAATTATGGTTGTGTGCCCAAATTGTTTAGTTCCCATCCAACTTGATTATTTTTGGAGCCTAAATGAGCTTTTCCAAGCTTCTTGTATGAATATTTCCAGTGGAGGTTGGTTTAGCAGTTTCTAGTGCACTTGCAGTGGTTGTTTTCATCGCCCCTAATAACTGCAGTGGACCGTTAATTTGGGGCTGTCTATCCTCTCTGGGTTGGTAAATGAGAAGCATTTCAGTTTACCATCTTCAGTGAGTCAGACAGGCTGATTGTAAGAATCAAATTACAGGCTTATAACCCTGAACAACACAGGAGAAAGATTTCATGATAAATCAACACTTCAAAACACGACAGTATTAAAATTTAATTATTGAACAACACTACAGACTTATTTTACAACTTGATATTTAACTAAAATAGAAAAGTGTTAACTCTTAAGTCGGTTTCAAGATTGACAAAATAAAAAACAAATCTTCCACTGAATATTACAATATTCTGAAACGATATAAATCAAACAATAATATATTAATTTAAGTGTTTTTTGTTATAGGATCAGTACGAATTTTGTTACCGAGCCGCTTTGGAATACCTTGGTTCATTCGACCATTATGCAGCTTGAAACAAGCGGCCTGCCGGCCCGCCGTGCCATACAAGGGAGAAGTTTATATAACGGAAACTGCTGTTTTCTTAATTTGTACATTAAGTTTTTTTTTTTTAACTTTACGTTTATTTTACTACAAGACTGAAAGGTTAAAAAAATAATAATTAGTGCAAAGGATTTTTTAGTACTTAGTTTTATTATTCAATATTAATTACTTTTACCTGAAATTACAAATAATTATAGTAACTTTTTTTTAGCTTTAAGTAATATTAATCATAGTCAAAGAGAGAAAAAAAAATTAAATATCAGTAATGAAATCATATCATAATGAGAAAAAAATATTCGAAAACAAGTTTGTATGAATTAGTTGAGCGTGTTTTTTTTACTTTTTTATGAGAAAATAATGTTTAAAAAAAGAAACATTTTTAAGAAAAAATGTATATCAACGAATAATAATAATAATAGTTATAATAAAATTTTAATAATTACATATAACTTATGTACTTCGGACAGGCAGTGTAATTATAAAAGTAAAAGTAAAACAGCAATTTTTTTTTACAATTGTAGTCTGGCATTGAACATTGAGCATAAGTTGATTTAAAAAAAAGACTTCTTGCATAAATCATTTTTAAATTTTGATATGCTGTCAAGGGAAAAAATTCATTATAGAATCATAGCTTATCATACGCTGCTTCATTTGCTTTCCTGCTTGGTTTTTGTCTAGAATTTCTGTTAAGATTTCATTAGATAGAAATGACAGCAAGGAAATAGGTTTTATAAATTCGTTAGGTGGAAATAGGTCTGTATAAATCATATTATTCAATAATTATCATGATCCCAAAACTTTCCTAAACAACCTAACGAATTCATACAGACCTTACTCTCATTTCTATTTAAAGTTTTACAGAAAACTCTCATTAGTCTGTCCCCTCCTAAACTCCCAAAATATCATATCAGAACATTTTGGCTTCTGTTCACTTCACAGCACCATTCTACTGGGTCATTGAGTGGTAGACATCATCTTTTCCGCCTTGAGCGAGGAGAGTATTGTCCCGGTGTATTTCTTGAAGTGGCGCAAGCCTTCGATCTAGTCTTGCACCCGGGACTTCTCTCCAAGTTAAAGGCTCTTCTCCCCTCAACCTTCTACCTGATCCTAAGATCCTACTTGTCCGATAGGCAATACCAAGTCAGACAAGGTACAGATCTTTCCTCTTTCTTCGTTTTCTTACCTTACTTATACTTTCATCACATCAAAACACAGATAGAGCTGCCTCCAGCATCCAGTCCTATCTAAACAATATCCATCAATGGACCACTACATGTAGAATAAAAATTAATCAAAATAAATGCATCGACACAACCTTTACCCTCTGCCGACGACATTTCCAGCACTCTTCTTTAGCAACATACTTATACAAATTTCTGTCATAGTAAAATATCTAGGCACGTTTCTCGATGAAAAACTGACATGGAACCACCACACTAAACTGAAAAGAAAGGAACTTGTCAAATGATATAAACTACACAAACACACAAGACACACTAGACAAACATTCAAAACATTCCGTCACTAACAAACTTTTAATATACAAGACTTTACTCTTACTCATCTGGATCTATGGAATAGATGCTAAACTGTTTTCCAATATAATTCGGCCACTTGAGTCAAAAATTCTCCATAAGAATTTATTATGTCTCGAACTTTACCATGCTGACCTCAAATTCCTTTTTCCAAAAACCTGCCAGAAAGGATGACCTATCCCGTTACAAAGAACTCCATACCTCCATAAGTATCACACTAACCCATTTGTACAACAAATATGCTCCCTGCAAAATCCTGCTGGGTCAATGCACCATCTAAAATGACAGTAACCAAGAGACCTACTTAATGACCACTATGTTAGGTCGTCATTGGGCGAATTACCTTCGTATGTATGTAAATGTGTAAACATCTTTGTATATGATTTTTTTATTAACTGTTAATTTTATTAATTAACATAATATATATCATTTGTTTGTTGCATCTAGTGTAAATTTATAATTTGCGCCGATGTTGATTTTTGATTTGTTTAAATTAAATTTTTCCTTGATGGTAAAATTGCAAGAATGTTGATTTTTAAATTTCATAAAGCCTAGGCTCTACCACAAACAAAGCGGACACATTTTCGACTTAGGGCCTCATTAATATTTTAATTTTCCAATAGACTTACTTTTTTCTTTTTTTTTTTTTTTTCAAAGAGAATGAATATAATATTGAAAGAGAGAGTGAAGTGAAAAAAATGTAGTCGAATAAATAATTTGTACATATTTAAATTGTAGATGATTAAAATGAATGAAAACAAAAAGTATATATATAAATAGGAAAAATGTTTGCAACATGTAAGAAAAATATTTAGCTATTTTCCCAAAATTAAATACTCCTGATTTTGTTGGTACATGAGATAAAATTCCCTCCAAAAAAAATATCAAATACCATTTTTTTAATATATATATGTATATACATATATATATACGCACAACTCACTGCTGTAAATATTAGATATAAAAAACTTCACTGTGTCTTTCTTTGCGCCCTTAAATGAAACATTCCATTATTGTCACGTTTGGTTTTTTTTATAAATTTGTTGACCGTAATGTTTGGAAAAATAAAAGTTTAAGAAATAAGAGAGCAAAACAGAATCTCAATTTAAATATAATATATTAAAAAAATTGTCCAAGAACGAATTATTCATGTAAATTTTAAATTGAGGAAAATATATTGATATTATTTTGAGAAATGAAATGAATTGCTAATGAAATGTTTGTTTAGTGAGCTTAGAAATTATTTTCATTGTGTTTCATTTGGAATAATGTTTCATGGAAGATGAGTTCTGAAAATAGAAACAAGAAATGATTCGATGGTGTATTTAATTGTTTCCTTATCTTCTTCCCTTCTTTTTCGTCCTCTATCAACAACTCTAGGAAAATAAAGATTCTTTACAAAGATATTAGTTTTCAAAACGCATCTGTAAACACTTAAATACTAATAAAAAAACTAGGATGAACAAATAACGCCAGGGTTCCAGCTAAAAGGAATTTTTGGTGAGACAGTAGACATCCTAGCTAAAAAAAAAAAAAAAAAAAAGCCTCAGTATAACCTAAATCCATTTTGTAGCATATGGAATCTTGGACAACTAAATAACATAAAAAAATACTGGGAACGCATGCCAGGTATGAGGCCAGCAAAAATACTACTCGCATAAACAACCCAACAGGATAAAAAGGAAATACGATTCTAAACAGGTACATTTACAGGAAACGGGATCAAGGGATGACCACACCAACTATGTCCAGAACCAACAGAGCGTATTCTATGCCCTGTAATAGCTAGAAAAAGACTATGGACCTAGGACAGCCATTATTGAGTAATCTCATTGCCATCCTGAGAATTCTGCTCTTCATTAAGAAATCAAAAACATTTTAAAAAATTACCGTAGGATTAAAAGCTTTGAGGTGTAGCAAACAAGCCAAGAAAGGTTTTCAAAAATCCTAAAAGGAGTAGTTGGCTCATTGACTGTTCTACCATCTCAACTAAAGGTATGAGCAGATAGTTAACAACATACTGGATCAATTAAAGAACAGTTGACTATTGTAAGTGCATTAAGAACCAAAGGGACAAACCAAATTAAAATAAATGAGATGGTTAGAACTGTTCCGGGTGAAGGAAACTCAACTTTGACAGATTCTTTCCAGTGGTCAAGGATCTTTGGAAAAAAGGCAACCCCAAGTTTCAGGAAGTGTGATGGATGAAAGATGGAACAGGGTGTAGGTGAAAGGGTGAAGAGGTCGCATTATTCTAGCAATACCCTTTGAACTGGTTTCAACTATATTCCAAGCTGAGTTCTGCGTAATTCACCTCTGGGCCTAGGAGTTGATAAAGAAAATGAAATTTACATACTTTTGGACAGTGAGGCACCTTCAAATGTATTAAAATGCTTTTAGCTCCAAACTAGTATGGGAATGCCTATGATCCTAGGCGAACCCAGCAAGGTTACTGGGACATGAAAACAACGAACAAGCTAGACAAAAAAGAAAAAGCCCTCATGCCCATGAGGCAGAAACCACAACTAGGCGCACTAACAAATGTGCTAAAGTTGGACCAGGAAAAATTGCTTGAGAAAGAAAAACTCAAGCACTGGATGAAAGCATAGTGTACGAGGCAAGCTAAAGATTCACAAATCTCTCAGAAAGGAAGTGAAAGATCTCTACAAGCAAGATGAGAAAAATTACACGCCTCTTTATTAGCAAGTGTCCTCTAACTACCACCTAAAGAAGATGGGCAAATCTAAGACATTTTAAAATTAAAACTGATTTAATATTAATGTTACAATGGCATAATAAATAAATATGTACAAATTCTTATAGTTTCAAGAACTTTTTTCAACAGGAGTTTTACCCCCACTTTTTTCCACTCTTGTCCTACTTAGTTGGCCCGTTTTGTTTAAATTTGTGATTATACTACTTATTTATTTGTCTCATCTAATCAGATCAGAATTCCCTATTTAACCAGCCCCTTCTCTAATCAAAACCTTAACCCTAATCTAACCTAACTCCAACCATAACCCTAACCTAACCTCAATCCTCTCTCTTTTCATCATGTCATCAAGGCAATAGTACTTCTTGATGCTTGTGCATATGCTGTACAAGCAGTATTGTTCTGCGAGAGAAGGGGCATGTATCAAGGCTTCTTAAAAAGCTTATTTGAGTTGACAATGTCCTTTGAAATATTTACCAAGATTTTCCTAACTCATCTCAAACCCTAACCTAACCAGTCCCTATCCCTACCTAACCTACCCCTATTCCTCCTTTCATTATTTCATCGAGGCAATAGTCCTTCTTGATGTGTATGTCTATGCACAAGCACTGTTGTTCTTTACCAAGGCTTCTGACCAAGCTTATTTGAGCTGACCATGTCCTTTGAAATGTCTGCCAGGTTTTTCAAATTCTGGATAATCTTTGGCTGTTCTTGAGGCATAGCTCAATAATAAAGGTTGGGTTATTGCGTGTGAGGACTTCGGGCAATACTGTTGAAAGGAAGTGTAGGGATTAACTTTTGACAGATAAGCAGATAATCATTATTTAAATGTCCTAGAAATATTAAACATATAATTTAGGATGCCCAATTTTCAAGGTTAAGTATCCCGATGACACGTCAATATCAGTTATTAAGAAAAAAACTGAATTGTCACTGTTTGGTTGTTTAGCATTAGACAAATTAAAAGCATTCTGCGAATTACTAAAAGTTATATTTACAATTGTGTAATTAAAAAAATATTAATTATAATTGTTTTGTGCGTGTGTGCCGGCGCCCGTTGCGTAACGAGTCACGTGCATGTCTTATGGCCTTTTTGGAGATTTCTTCTCCAGCACGATTGCGATGTATTCCCAGATCGTTAACCTTTGAAATGTCAATATTAAAAGAGGGGAGCCGCATAATTGCCGTTTTATTATCAAGCATCTCATGTCAATTATTATTATCAAGCGTTGAAACGTCTTTTTAACGAGTCGATTCGATTTTTTTCAACGTGTTAAGCAAGGACACGTCGGCACGTGATCAGTCAGATTGAGCTAGACGAGATATGACATTTTAAATACAATTACAATATTTCCAATTACCAAATGGGTGGTTGAACAATATATGGTGTCCAGACTTGTATTGTCTACATCTACAAACAATGACCACAAAAGCGACATAGTAACAAGTGTACCTACATCATGGCGATGATTATACCAGTGAGTGTTGAAATATGACTGCCCCGTCCTTACATCCTTCTCTGTACTCAGATAAGGGCCATATTACAGCGGTTGCAATGGGGTAGCACCATAATAACAGGTCACTAGGAAGAAACAGAAAAGCTCAGGGTAAGATATGGTCCATTAGAAAATGTGGTTGAAGTCAAAATCTGCTTGGCTTGACTTACCAGCCGTCTTTTATACGCCGCCATAACTCCTTGGTTTTTCAGTTCTCAAAGCTTCTTCGGATAGAATTAAGGACAATAGATAACTTAAGAAAGGTTAAGTATCGAAAGTAAAGGTGGAATATTGGAATATAAATTAAGGTTAAGAGGACTCTGCCCACCGCGACTACTGCTGGTCTATTGTGCAGTCTTCATTATTATCTAGATTTATTAATCTTAAATATAATCTAATAGGCATGATGAAAACCAAGACAATAAAGCGCTGCCTTTTAATTTTAAAAGAAAAACCTCGCTAATTGCCAAAATCGCTCTGCGCGCATATGTTCTCCGCTCCACTGAAAAATAATGAATTATGGATATGTAACCTAACATATCCTTAACCCTAATCTAACCTAGCCTAACCCTCACCCACCCAAACCTAATCTAACCTTAAACCTATCCTAAACCTTATAACCCTACCTCACGTAAGTTAAACCGATCCCTACTCAACCCTTTCAGGACGGTGATATCATCTTCTACTAGTAGGTACTGAGAACATGCCATCACGTTCACTCCTACCTCTAATCAACTATAGCAAGTGTTATATAGCACTTAAGTCCTTTACTTTGAGACTGAAGTTCAAACAAGAAGTGTTTATCTTTTATTTGTTTTTTATCAGTTGAGTATTAACTTATTTATCAGTTGCTTAAAACGGTAAACAAGGGCGTTATGTTTTACAAATTTCCCACTCTCACTAGTGCTAAAAAAATAACTTAAGCAGCACAACTATGAACTTGAATGAGAAAGTGGAAAGAGTAAATGGATGAGCACGATATAACGCTCTCAGTAACTCACTTGGTTAACCCTTAACCCTACTAAAAAATAATGTAACCCTTCCTTAACTCTAACCTAAACCTTCCTTAACACGAACCCTTTCTACCCTAACCCGTCTATGTCCTTAACTCCATATAACAACCCTAACTCTAACCGTAACCCTACGTAACCTAGCCAATCCTAACCTAGCCCTTAACCTTAACGCTACCGAACGTAAAAAACCCGTGCTTACTCTAACTCTAACCTAAAAGGTTAAATGCTAAAAGTTATAAGGAGTTGGCCTCTTTACCTACGCCCCACGCAATAGTATTGGTGGTGCAATCCCCATCTTTTTTTTCTTTTTTTTACGTGGGTTCGCAACAGCAGAGGTCATATAAACCCTCAGGGTGCCGGTGTTTTTGAAAAAAAAAAGCCCGTTTGTAAGTATGTCGGGTTCGAATGCAGGGGCGCTGCATTCGAACCC